TGTCACGGGCATCTTTGGAAAGGACTCTGTCTGGTGAAGCCTGCAGACTCCCCAGAATAAGGTTTTTAAGTGCATAATATGAAATATGTGGGATTACAAGGGAAACTAATTACAACAAAATACAATTCATAACAATGCCACAAAGTTCACAGATTGCAGGTTATGCCCTTGTTCTATAGCATGATTTAGTGAAATGAGCCTTCTCGGGTTTGGAGGTCCTGGGTTCAAATCCCAGACAAGCTGTAAGACCTTAGTAAACTAACTTCACTTAAGCCTGATTTGCCTCATTTGTACCATTTGTTGGTGAACGAAAAGTGCTTTGTAAAATCTAAAAGTGCTATGTGCACGGCAGCCATTAAGAATATTGTTCCCAGTGGGCCAAATAATTGAACATATGATGCATTATTTGTTCTTAAAACAACCCCATGACGCAGTGAAGGGGAAGATAGTATTAATCTCATTTTGTAGTGTGGAAAACAGGCTCAGACTGAAGAAGTGTTCCTTTGAGGCCACATAATTAATCTTTGGAAAACCTGAGACTGGGACACAGAGTACCCTAATCCTCTCATTCTTTCTTTCTTTATTTTTTTTTGGGGGGGGGGGGCTTTCTGATTTCAGTGCAGCTGGCTTAAAGGACATCTGCTTAGAAATAGGAATTATTATAGTGGAAAACAGGCAAAATTAGATTGGAAAGTGCACTAAAGTCAGACAATCTGGATTTGAGTCCCAATTCCGGTAATCCTGTAGTTTCTAAATATCTGACCTTGGATGAGGTTACTTAATTTCTCTGAGTCCCAGTTTCTGCATCTATAAAATGGGTATTTTTGTTGTTCAGTTGTTTCAGTCACATCTGACTCTTTGTGACCCCATTTGGGGTTTTCTTGGCAAAGGTACTAGAATGGTTTGCCATTTCCTTCTCAGCTTATTTTACAAACGAGGAAACTGAGACAAATAGGGCTAAGTGACTTGCCCAGTGGGGTCATACAGCTAGTAAGTGTCTCTGGTAGGATTTTAACTCAAGTCTTCCTGAATCCAAGTCCAATGCTCTATCTACTATTTTTTTCTTTTTTTTTTCTTTCCTTTTTTTTTGGTCAATTAGTCATGTTTGACTTTTGACACCATTTGGTGGTTTTGGAGGCAGAGATACTGGAGTGACTCTCCATTTCCTTCTCCGGCTCATTTTACAGATGAAGAAACTGAGGCAAACAGGGTTAAGTGACTTGCCCAGGGTTCATAAGTGTCTGAGGCTAGATTTGAACTCAAGAAGATGAGTCTTCCTGCCACTGTACCACCTAGCTGCCGTGGTGCACTGCTACCTGAACTATATCATCAATCATCACTTATTAAGCTCCTATTTGGTGTCAGGCACTGTTTTTGGTGCTGTGTACTCACTTTCTATTGAATCATTATAGGGATGTTGTGAAAGGAAGTGCTTTGTAAACTGCAAGACATGTATTAGTGGGGACTATGATTAGAAACAAGTGTAAAAGCACAAAATACAGAAACAATCAAATTTGGAGAAGTTTCTTGTGGGTGACTGTGGGCAACATTTTAATGCAACTTTTATGGCTTAGCTCTACTCTGATAAAAATTCCAAGCCAACCCTGGGTTCATCAGATCATCCATTGAGATTACTGTACCTCCAGAAAGAGTTAGAAGAGTGTGGTAGAACACACACTGGACTGGAGTGAAAGGAACTGGGTTCAAGTCTCATCTCTGCTATTTACTATCTCCGTGAACTTGGACTAATCTCTTTAACTATGTATGCATGCATATGAATGTATTTATGTGCATATATGTTTATACATACATACACATATGCATATATTTTATATACATATGTATATGGTTCAGTTTCCCCATCTATAAAATTGGGAAGATTGCAGTATGGTATAATCAAAAGACCACTGTCTCTGGAATAAGAGGACCTAGTGATACTACCTCTGGTGCTAACTACTTGTTTGACCTTGAATAAGTCATGTAAGGTACCCAACAGTTTCCTAATTATTGGATGAGGGGTCTGGACTAGATGGACTTTAAGGTTCCTTCCATAGGATCCTATGTTCCCTTGGGAACTGGAACAGACCTAGGAATCATTCTAATCAAATATCTTCATTTATGGAAGAGAAAGCTAAGGTCCGGAAAAGTCACCTGACTTGTGCTAGGTCACATACCTAGTGAGTGAGATAGCAAAGCCACAGTTTGATTGCAGGTGTAGAACTGGTTTCAAAACCAGTATCCTTTACTTTTGGGAGGTCCGTCAAAAAAAAAAATAGTTGATTGTTTTCAGTTAAGAAAAATGCAGTTGCTTTTCCCTGGTGAATAGCCATGAGCTTCAGGGATTAAAAGAAGGAAGGAAATGAGCATTGATTAAAGAATAAAATTGGTAAAGAGTATGCTAAGCAACGTTATCTTATTTAACCATTGCAACAACTCTGGGAGGTAAGTTCTATTATCATCCCCACTTTACATTTGAAGAAATTGAGGCAGACAGAGGTTAAATGACTCGCCGAGGGTCATTCAGTGTCTGAGGTGAGATTTGAACTCAGGTTTTCTCAACACTCTATCCACAGCATCATTTAGCTGCCTCTAAAAACTACTGGATAATGATCAATGTTATTGACTTAGGATTGGTGCCCTATTGATAATCCAGCAAAAGAAAAGGAAGGGAAACCTGTTAAGCATTGGAATCCACAGAAAAGTAGAGGGATGACACAAACAGCCTTGGATATAGTTTTCAGAAACATGATGATGGCAGTTGGACCCAGGAATTGTAAAATCAAAGAACATGAAGAGCTAAATAGCATGAAAAATGGTGGACAAACAATTCAGTGAATAAAAGAAAACAGCTCCAAGAAAGCAGGGGATGAAACCAAGCAAGGGGAAGGGGAAGAAAGGAGGACAAAAACAGAATGCAAGTGGTCGAAAGGAGGAATATAGAATATCATGAAAATATGGAAATATTAAGGCAAAGGAAAAGGAATGTGTTCAAACTGTCAGAAGAAACAAACATTCAGAAAAAAACCACTCCTCCTAAGACACGCTCTCTCATTAAAGGAAAGCGCAGGCAGGTAACAAATACGAGTTCTGCTTAAACATGAAAGTTTCCTACAGCCAGGTTTACAAAAAAAGCAACTATTCAGCTTTTTTGAGCTTATTTTTTTTTCTAATTCCTATTCCCATTACCAAGCACAGCTGCTAAACATTAGAAGTCGACAGGATGAAAACAGGGCAACAGCTAATAAAAAAGTAAATCAAAGCTGGCCCTCTGCTGGTAGACCCCTTGTACTACACCATTGAAAAGAAGAAACTTAGGAAGTTTTCTGACAACTTTGCTCTATGCAGTAACGCTCAGGGCTCCAGGCAAGTCTTAGCTCTGGTCTCGTACACTCAGCCCTAAAATCCTTCCATTGAGGGCCTAAAAAGAGGTAAATGACAGAGCAGTAGGGATCTCCAGTCAGATTATCATTGATGAACATAGATTGCTTGCATTTTCTAAGTGGATCATCATTACTTTTACACACCCTGTAACTTTGTTTCCCTGGCGGTGAATAAGTCTGAGGCACATCTTTGGGATAAAGTAAATAAGACTGCTTACTCCATAGGTCGTTATGTGTCTGGGGAAGACTGAATTGTCTAGTACCATCAAAAAATTTGGAAGACATCTGCTTTTGCTACTGTCTAGGTTTCTGGATTTCATAGGTCCCTGAACATCAAGACATAAAGCTGCCACTGATCCCCAGTATGTGAAGAAATCATTGGAAATCACTGTTCATCTAGAAATCAACTCCTGATGTCAAAGCATGGGATAGGATAGGCAGTACCACAGAATAATTCCACCTTACACCTCAACTGCTCCTTGAATGTAAAAATGATACAAATTCAAATATTCAAATAAAAATTTGGTGGGAAATCCCATTTTCTCTGCAAGGAATGCCAAGTTGCTCCACTCCTAGATCTGAGACAGGATGCATTATTTTCATCATAACCAACAAAGTCACTAACTGAGCCAAACAACTCCCCCTGTGTACTCTGTGAGGTACAGTTAAGCTGGGACAACCCTGAATCTGTCTCTTAGGACCACAACAGCCTCATTAAAGGGATAAAAGATGATATCTGCTGAGCTGGTGGAAAGTGGTGGCTGCATTTTTATTAAAGTCTCTGCTGCAGCCAACCTAGTCCCCAAAGGTCCATATTCCAGGCATATCTCTCATTCTCTCTGTATGGAGTGGCTTAGTTGTTTTGGGTTTTTTTGTAACTCATTAAGGGAAAACAAAATACTGTCCTGGTGTACTCTTCAGAACACAAGCGGTCTATCTACATGTAAGCTGCATGTTTTCTTTCCTTTGCCTGTGTCCTATATACTAAGCCTGACCTAAGAAATTATAATAGATACCCTAGGAACACTTGATTGACTTAATGCTATCAGCTTTGGTAACAGACTCTTAAAGGGCCAGGCTAGAAAATAACTGATGGAGGCCACCTTGCCCACCCTTTTTAACCACACCCAAACACACATGCACTCTGGCCTATGAAAAAGGCACTAGAGCATCCATCCAACCATATTATATTCAATTTGTACCCAGAATCCAAATTCCTCTGACCACTTGGTGCCTGGCTCCTATTTTTCAGTACTGGGCCAGAAAATTAAAAAAAAAAAAAGACATGGCAGCTTCGCAGTTTCTAGCCACTGAAGGTCCCAGACTTAGAGACGCCACACTGAAATACGGTGAATGAAGCAGAGCTGTGTCTATCCTTAGAGTCCCAGACCCAGGGAAATGTTGATGTCCAAGCAGAACTATAAACCTGCCTGAAGACTGGATTTGAGCTTCCTGGAGAGCAAGTGTCATGAATTCTGGCCTGTACAACACCTCTGGCAATGTCCTAGCTCCCAGGGCCCGAATCTCTTCTTGGCCTCCACAGACCCCAACACAAGTCATCATTACAGTTCAGGAGACCCACTTTCCCCCACCACAAAGAAGCGAAGAGCTGCTCCCTACCTGAGAGTGGCGCTCTCCCCTTGCCTGACCGTCACGTTGTCCATAGCTTTGGGGAAGGTGGCATCTCCGCTGCGCACTGGCACTCCTGTGGGCAGAAGGAACAGCAGCCTGAGAGACAGGACCACGAAGAACCTCCAGGGCAGCAGCAAGTACCCACCGACCCCCATCCTCGACAGCCACAACTTCCCTCAACTGGAGCAGCGGCACCGCAGGCGCCCCCCAGCCGGCACAGGAAGCGGGCGGGGGGAGAGGAAGGGGACTGAGCGATCCAGGAGCAAAAAGGGGGGAGGGTTGGGGGCGGGAGAGAGAAAGAGCCCGGGCTCCTCCAAGTCTAATGATCCTCCCCCAAAATCCAGCCTCAGCTTTCCACCATCGGAGATACGAATTCCCCCAACAGCATCCAAAGTGTTCGCGCCCCCCACGTTCCTCGGGTGAGGAAGGAGGCAGACCGAAAGGGAGAAGAAGAAAGAAGGTGCAGGGATGAAGGTCACAGATCTCTCTCTGCTCTCTCTTCAAGATGCTACTTTAAGATTCAGTTCGGCACGCGCTGCAGAGGTCTGGCATCAAAAGTTTATAACCCAAAAAAGTGCCTCTGACATGAGGGAGATGTCATTAAAAAAGCTCCTTTTTTGGAAGAGGAGGAAAGAATTTTATTAGCTCACACATATGTATACTACGTATATATATTTTTAAAAAAACCGCCAATTCACACTGATTCTTTAACAGAGGGGAGGTTTAAAAAAAAAGTTCCCAGCAGGTATTTGCAATTAGTTCCTAATGATGCCCCCGATTCTGTAAATTTCCTCAAACCAAATCCAGCCCCTGGATTCAGTCCAGTCACCCAGTTCAGCGAACGATGTTAGATCCGAACCCTGGGAGCAAGAAGAAGCCTTCCAGCACAGAAGAGAAAGGGAAGGCTTGGAGCAGGAGCCCAGGAGTGGGAGCTGCGGGAACCCCCGACTCCTTCCCTCAGCTCAAAGAGAGGAAGCCACTGGCCAGGGATGTGAGCGCTTCGCGGGAGCCACACCAAACTCAGCTGCTTCCCCCAGTTTCAGCATCTCCTTCCTCCCAGGAACATCTCCGACTCGCACAAGCACCGACTTCCAGGGTTGTCATGGTAGCAACTCCATCACTGACCAACACTTTCCCTCCCATACAGACACACTGAGAGGCGCAGACTTAGCACATTAATCTCAGGGAAGGCTTGTGAGCAGCAGAGAGAGCTCCCACTTTAACCCTTGCACTGCTGGATCTGAGAACCAGTGAGCATACAGCCTAGGGAATCGGAAACAGTTGTTTAAAATCCATGCAGAGACATGGAAGAGAGGGAAGAGGGCAGCAGTTTAGTCTGTCTCTATTCTTCCCTTAACCCCCTCAGCTCCAGCAAAGGAACGAGGAGCTAGCAAAGAGAAAGATGTGACCCTCTCTGAAGCATTACCCTCACTAGGAGAGGCAGGACGGTAAAGGGGTGGAGGAGGGAGGAAGTGCAAGCTGAAAGGTTGGAAAATTGAGACTACTGACTCCTTCTTTCTTGTGCATTCCTAAGCAAAATATGCACCCCTCTCCCCTTGCCTGTTCAAGGAGGCTTCGTGTGGAAGGACGGACAGGGGAACCCAGCCTGAGTCTGCTTCCACATACAACTGTCATCTCTTTACTTTGCCCATCTGCAAATGCAAAGCCACTTTCCCTATTTCAAAAGAGACCAAGTTTTCAGTGCTAGTATCCTTTTGTCCAAGGAAACATTTCCTACATCTTACCATGAAGTAAACAAGAAGGGACAGTGATTTAACCTAATTTTGCAGATAGAGGTTGTTTTTATTCTCTTTTTTCCCCACTCCAAGCACATTATCTCAACTACCATTTTTAACAGCCTAAAAATTATGCATCATTCTCACCCACACCTTCCAAACAGGCATCTGATGGTGGTGAAGAAAGTATGTGGTGTGATGGGCCTCTTTCTCCATTTCTGTAACTATGGGAGTAGAAGGAACATTGAATTTTCTAGAATAGTTAGGATACCTGGGTTCTAGTCCCAGTTCTACCACTAGCTAATAACAGCAGCAAAAATAAAAATAACACATTTATGCAGCAATTTACATAATTTATCTCATTTGATTCTTACAACAATACCATGAGACAGCTATTTGAAAAGCAATAGGATAAAGTTGGAAGAACAGTGAACTTGGCTTCAAGGACATTTGGACTCAACTCCTGACTCTGCCACTTACTAGCTTAGTAACTTTAGGCAAGTTACTTCTGCTCTCTAAGCCTCAATTTCTTCATCTGTAAATAAGGGGTCATACTAATACTTGTTCTACATTTTCACAAGGTTCTTATGAGAAAAGCATTTTGTAAACCTATATAAATATGGTATTAATTTTATTATCCCCATTTTCAAAGTGAGAAAAATAGTGCTCAGAGAGTATAAATGACAAAACTGTGGTCATATAAATGATCAATATCCTCCTCTACAACTTCTATTGTTGATTATTACCATAATCATTAATATAAATAACTGATGATGGATATAACACTTAACTTTGCAAAACACTTTATATACATTAACTTATTTGAGCTTCACAACTATGTCAGGTATCGAAGATATTACAGTTTTCATTTTAGACGTGGGAAAAATGATGGTCAGAGATGCTAGATGTTTTGGCTAAGATCACAAAATTGGTTGGCAAATGTTGGAAACAAGATTTGAATCTCCACCTTCCTGACCCCATATTCAGCCCTCTATTCACAAAGATTGTTGCCCTGTGATTATCAGGTATAAAGGTGCACTTTTAGAAATATGAAATCGATGATGGATTAGACTTGATTGACATTGCATACACGATATAGAAGGCACAAGCCAGAGAACAAGATAAGGCAGTGGCAGAAAGGATGTCCTGTACCCTAGAATTAGATAGAGTATATGAAAGGTTTTGAAGGAAACAAAGCACAGGCAGCATGACTCTAAGTTACAAGACTGCTGCAAACAGCCAGAAAAGGGTGCATCAGCTGATTAGAGTGAGGCCAATTTAGGAAAAGCATGAGATTGCGGAGCAAAGTGTGGATCAGTGGAAAGAAAACTGGGTTTGGAGGCAGAGGGTCAGTATACGAATTTTGGCTTTGCTACTTACTACCAGGTATGACCTTGGGCATGTCAAAATTCCCACTAGTCTCATATTGAGAAATGAGGGAGTTAAACCAAGTTAGGATGCTTAGCCTGGAGTGCTTGAACCTTTTTAATATTTTTTTTTAAAAAAAGCTTTATTTCAATATAATTCATTTCCTTTGTAATTCTATGTATTTTATCTCATACATTTCAAGACATTACTCTGAGAAGGGGCCCATAGGCTTCACTAAACTTCCAAAGGGGCCCATGCCACCAAAAAGATTAAGAGTTCCTGTACCAGATAACTTCTAAAATCCCTTCACGTTCTAAATCTATGAACTTATGAATGTTTCCAAGAAGGGGGCAGGGGAGCGAGGGAGAAGGGAAGCTTAGAGAAAGATATGCTATGCCAAAATCCAGGGAACTAAAATTTAAAGTTTCAGGTAACTTTATAGAGAGCAATTTCAACCTGATACTAAGGAAGTATATATGGACCCCACAGAGGAACACAAAGTTCTAATGCAAGGGAAGAAAAAGTGAATCTATTGTGAATATAACAATGATAATAATAATTAATAGTAACTGGCATTTATGTAGTATCTTACAACATTATTTCATTTGATCCACAAGGATGTTATAGATATCAGTATCCTCAATTTAAAATTGAGGCAGCTGAGGATGAAAGAAGTTTCATAGCTTAGGTTCATAAATCTAGAGTGGGAAGGGACCCCAAAGGCTATGTAGTAGAACCCTCTCATTGTACAGATGTGGAAAGTGAGGCACAGGAAAGATGAATGGCTTGTCAAGGACACAGAAAATAAGCCCCAGAAGTGGTATTTGTACTCAGGACCAGTATTTCCATATCCAGGGTTCTTTCTTCTACATGAGGCTATCTATGGATTACCCAGAAACACACAACTGAAACCCAGGTCTTTCTGATTTCAAGTTCTTTGCTCTTGTTCACTAAACTGCATTATCCTTAATTCATTTAAACCAAAAAAGATCAAGGTTATTTGGTCAAAAGAGGTTAGATAAAGTGAAAAGAATGACATGACTTTCCTTTTTGCCTTCATTCCTGAGTTCTCCTCCAACTACTGTTTGGGCTTTCACTAGATTAGTTGAGGAATCAGCTCTGTTCTAAGGTGGAATAGTAAAGGTAAAGAAAGGGAAAAGGCTAAGGTCCAGGATTGTAGCCTATGGAAGAAAAAACCATGGACCTTGTAACAGAAAGCTACTAAATTGGTGGCAAATGATGGAGATCCTTTGGTTTGAATGTTCCTTAGTCTGCTTCTTTATAACTGTTAAATTGTGTACAAGCTCAAAGGATGGCCTCTCATTAAAAGGTCCCTTTAGATTCCCTATTGAGTATATAAGATGTTCTGAGAAAGAAATTAGAATTTTAGATCTGGAAGAGACATACAGAATCATAGGGTCATAGTGTTGGGGAGTCTTTGGAAATCATCTAGTCCTCTCATTTGACAGATGAAGGAAACAGAGGCCCAGAGAGCTTAAGTGATTTTCCCCAGGTAACACAGCTAGTTGTGGGAAAAGTAGGACCAGGGTGCAGGTCTGTTGACTCCTATTCTGTTGCTCTTTTTTTTAAACCCATGCTAACTCTCTTGGCTTTTAGGGAACCAGTGGGAGATTCTAGAACCACCAACATGAACAGGTCAATACTCATCACAAAGGAAAAACATTTGATAGATGAGAAAGAGACAGAGAGTAAAAGAGATACAGAAACAGAGATGCAAAGAAAGAGTAAAAGAGAGAGAAACAAAGTAAGAGACAGACACACACAGAGGCAGAGATAGAGATGTAGACCGATAGTCATACAGTTACAGAGATACAGAGAGGCAGGAAAGAGAGAAACATAGAGAGACAGAAAAAGAAAGAGATAGAGAAGAGCAGAGATACACACAGAGAACACTCTTTGGATTTGGAGTCAAAATTATTGTATTTGAATTTGGCTTTTTTACTCATTACCTATGTTTTGTTGTTGTTGCGTTGTTTCATGTCTAACTCTTTGTGACCCTATGTAGTGTTTTTCTTGACAAAAATACTGAA